ACAGCCTCGGGGCCCGCGCGCCCCGCCACGCTGCCCGCCAGCCAGCTCACCTTGCTGAAGAACCACTGCTCGGCGTCCCTGCGGTTCTTGTCCGCCAGGCTCTCGTACTGCTCCCTCATCTCGGCCAGGATCTTGGTGAGGTCGACGCCAGGAGCAGCGTCCATCTCCACGCTGATCTCTCCACCCACCTGCCCGCGCAGGGCGTTCATTTCCTGCCACGAGAGAGACACACGACACCCATCGGCGTGAAATCGGAGCGTTCCCATCACGACAAATTTCTTATCTGCACCCAGCACACGAGCCCCACAGACCTCCTCTCGGAGGCCCTGTCTGAAGGGATTGTCTCCCCCCAGCCCAGCCGAGAGCCTCCTGCCAGCCCTGACCGCAGAGACACCCCTGCACGTCTGACCTGACCGCTTCCCGGTGGGCACGAGGCACGTTCTGCAGGTCCCAGTGGGAGCCTGGCTGGGTGCTCACCTCCTCGTGGTTCTTCTTGAGGTAGGCCAGCTCCTCCTTGAGGTTCTCGATCTGCATCTCCAGGTCAGCTCTGGCCAGGGTCAGCTCATCCAGGACTCTGCGCAGGCCGTTGATGTCGGCCTCCACGCTCAGGCGCAGAGCCTGCTCCGTCTCGAACCTGGGGACACAAGAACAGTCACAACACTTGCACGAGATCTTGGCCAGCCGGGGACAGGGCACCTCAGTGCTGCTGCTGGCATCGTGTCAATCCTGCATGACCCCGATGGCGCGTGGACAACCTGCTGATGGGGAATGCTGGGGAATGCAGGGGGACAACTCATAAAACAGTGCCCATAAGAGTCTGCAACATCGCCTCGACCCTGGTAACACTGGACCTCAGAACAGGGTCTGGGCTTTGCTGAGCTACACGCACACGAGTCCAATGCGCAGCAGAGGCACAGTGCAGCCTCTCTGCACAGGAGAGCTCATAGCGCGGAGGGACGAGCAACAGGCATGAAACAGTGAAGGTTTTGATGGAAGCAAAGCAATCCCTATGTGCCTGTTGATTTAGATAACCAGCTGCTTTGGAAATTCCACCTTCATGTTGAAGGCTTTGTTTCTACATTGCCTTTTGGGGTTTGGATGAGATTTTCTCCCCATTTCATCGAAGGACTCTGCAAACTTTGTTCCATTTTTCCAGGAAAGGTGGCTTACTTGGTCCTGAAGTCATCAGCTGTCAGCCTGGCGTTGTCAATCTGCAGGAGGAGGTTAGCATTGTCGACTGTGGCCACCAGGACCTGGAGGGTGGGGGATAAAGGAGAAGCACTGAATGAGTGTGAGGAACTCCTCCTGGCTGACCGAAGGATGGGCACAAGTGAGACTGTTGAGACAGGAATAGTTTTAGGGCAGCTTGGGGCTTCCTGAGCAGAAGTGTGTGTCAAATCAGGACAAGGGAGACATCGCTCAGACTGCCTGCAGGAAGGGGCTGATTACTCTGCGACCTCCATTTCCAGAAATCCTTCAGTAAGGGTTTCAAAAGGCAGCATGAAGGTACGTAAGATGTGTGAGATCTGATGACGGCCTTTGTTCCCATGCCTCAGGGCAGGTGCTGATGATGCAGGGGTGAAGGAGTAATCACCTGCTCGCCCATCCACAGCACCGTGCGGCTCCTCTGGCAGACAGACCTTGTGCCCATTTATTCTGGGATGGATTTAGTTTGTTGACTGCAGAAATGGAGCAAACTGCAGTGAGCAGGTGCCTACAGCTTATAGTTTTTAGATTACTAAAGCAGGAGCAAATAATCCACACTGGGAGAAGATTCAGGTCAGAGTTTGGGAGGACAGCAGCGATGGTGCCAAGGAGAAGGAGGGAAGATGGATTCCCTGCGTCATTTGCCAGCACTCGTGCAGCTCCGGCCGTACACTGCCTGCCTTCGTGTTTGCTGGGGGCAATTCACACGCAAGGAGGAACAGAGCAGAACAAAGTCAACTCTCAAGTATTTCCTCCCAAATGGGACGGTGGGAATCAACTCAGAGCTGAGAGAAATCCCCCCAGAGCTGCTGGGGTTGAGGGGTTTGCAGCAAGCCTGGCCCTGGAGCAGTGACTGCTGAAAGGAGGCGAGAAATTCATTACTGGTCAGTTCCATCTCTTTCTCTTTAGCATCTCAGTCACACCAGTACAGAGGAGCTGAACCGAGGGTGCAAATTCTTTGACTGCATGTTTACAGATATGACAGCGATGTTTTACACTTTGCACACACCTACACCTTCCCCTGCATACTCACTTTAAACTCTCAAAAAACACGCAGTGTCAACACAGACTTGTCTCTTATCCTTCACTTTAACGTTATGTCCTTTTACATCGCTTTCCTCCAGTGGAAACCGCCATTTGTTCCATCCAGAAGGATGTAATCAAAAGCTGGCGTGGAGAAGCCGCTGAGAAGCAGCTGCATTTCCAGCCTGGCACTCCGCATGTGCACGAGACACTCCCACCACACAGTGAGTGCTTACTAATTACAGAGGCAGCAGCCAGTGTTCCTGCTTCCTCTCGGATAACCAGACATCCCGCTGTGTTAACCACAGCATCCTACCTTGTTCCTGAGCTCCTCGATAGTCCTGTAGTAGGGGCTGTAGTCACGGTCGGGACCAGGGCCCTGCTTCTTGTACCATTCCCTGATCTTCACCTCCAGGTCGGTGTTGGCCTCCTCCAGGGCCCGCACTTTGTCCAGGTAGTTGGCCAGGCGGTCGTTGAGGTTCTGCATCGTCTCCTTTTCACCAGCCGGCAGGATGCCATCGCCGCCTCCAAAGCCAGCCCCAAAGCCAGCCCCAAAGCCAGCGCCAAAGCCAGCGCCGAGGCCGGAGTAGCTGGCGGGGGA